ATATAGCACACAAGAGAGGACGAAATATTACCGTATTAAAAAATCACGTTGAAATGTGGTCTAAACATAGACGTCTTTTCAACGTCTACGAATAGACGTTGAAACAACTTTCACTTTTAAACCATTTTGCAACGTCTTTTCAACGTCGGGCATAGACGTCTTTTAAACGTCTTTTCAACCAAAAAATGCTCACTGGGATGTCAATGGCCTTTTACCCATTGTACTACACTTTTTACTTTGTATATAAATGGCTTCTGAGTATTTTGTATGAATAATATTCAACATTTATTGCAAATAATATTCAATACAGTAACGTCCTACAATCGGTGCAATACATTATTTTCTTGGCTTTAGAACCTGCAATGAGTGTATTATGTTAGACGCGTTTGTAACGGAGCGTCTCTTCCAGCGAGGAAACGCTGCCTGCCGTCGCCAGAGAACAGAGCAGAAAGGTCCGACAGTCTGTTAAACGGGTCCTCATGTTTCTGTGAAGCACCGCGGCTTCAGTCTGCTAACAGGCAGCTAAACAGAGACAGCTGAGCTAAACTAACGAAGCCACGTTCAAATTCGCCGAAGCATAAAATAGTCGTCGCGGTCCGTAGTCGGTGCACAAGAACCACCGCTGCACCGAAGTGAGCGTGTTGGGTTCGTCGAGGACGTCATCATGACGCGTTAATATCCGCCGTACTTTGCCTGCCTGTTGTCTGTCAGCTGCGTGCGAATTTAGGGGGAAAAAGTATCGTGACTTCGTCAACCACCAACATGTTTGTCTCGTTAACAAAAGTTAGAATGGATTTAGTCATAGTTTTTATTTTTTAAGATCGTTTTCGTCACGTCTTAGTCTCGTCTTAGTCATGGAAAAAAGGTTTGTTAACTATGACGAAATAAAAATTTTCGTCATAGTTTTCGTCGACGAAATTAACACTGGTATGCAGCTACTCATGTGGCACTCTATACATATAAAGCATTTATGTATGGCTCATGGTTTGTGCATTTTAAGGTTTTGATCTTACAATTACTTTAAATATTTATAACAACCTATAATCAAGTAAATACAACAAAATCTTCATTAATACTAAATAAAACCTAGATATTAGTGACAGATTTATATCCTGATATTTTTATCTAATACTGCTGCAGTTTGTACATGCTTTGATATATGGATTCATTTAAACACTTCTTTTATTTTTCTCTCTCCCTCCATGGTCGTCTCCGTATTTTAATGAAAATAATAATAATACAATTATTGTCCAGACAAAGCACTTGGTTCCTCCAACAGGATTCCCTTGGTAGTCCCTACTGCTAATCTAACAATCGATTGAGTACTGCCCAATATTGTGGAACTCACTTTCAACAAATCCCATTCAGTACTTTCAAGTAAAAAGTTGGTAAATGCCTATTTTAAATGTTTTGTTTCTTTATTTACTCTCATTTGTGATTATCTATTGTACAATAAATACACTTACAATGTTGCTAGCAATTTGTCAACCATAAATGTGATAAATGTGGGGTTTCACATAAAGTAAATGTATCACTTTGAACATTATTTGCCATAAATATTGAAAAATATTCATAGAAAATACTCAGAAGCCATTTTAAAAGAAAGTAAAAGGTGTTGTACAATGGGTAAAAGGCCATTGACATATGACATGATTTCGGTGGTTCTACAGTTGATAACAGTGGAATTATTGAACATTATTTGCAATAAATGTTCAATATTATTGTTACGCCCCCACCCCGGCTCAGGAGAGGAGGAGGGCGTAACTACCCAAGACCACGCCCACTGGATGTGGGAACCTGTATACTAGTCACCACGACGCTACTACAATAAACAAACACACGCTGCTACAATGGATGACTAAATGGTGGGTTTATTTTCCACACAATGATCATGTATAATGACAATACACACAATACAAACCCAACAATTACACACAAGGAGGTAGACACGGGATAGGAGGACTAACAGGTAACAAGGCCTGTGGAGTAGGGCGGTGCCAGCGGTCTGTCAAAGCAAAGAAACAAAAAAAAGGACCCTGAGCTTCCCTACTCCTCTAAACCTACCTACCACAATCTAACCTATTACACCACTTACCTCACTGCTACAACACACTGGGCGACCGCCACTGGCTTCTAATCTAAAGTATCTAACAGAGTTTTTTCATACGGGTGTATGTAGACTCCAGGTTATCTTAACTAGCCCTGCTCCACAGCGCTCTTGGGGTACGTACATGAAACACAGACCTGGGTGTACAATAGACGACAGTTTTAACAAACAACATAAACCATATATATTTCAAAGTCTCTCTCAATCTCTCTCCCAACACAGCCTTCCTCCGAGCTCTCACAAACTAAACATTTTATAGAGCAGAGCTGCGCTGGATTGGCTGGAGAAACAGTTGGCCATGCCCGCATCGTCAGCAGCAACTCACCACACCTGTGAAGAACAGACTGGAACAAAGACATGGGGAGGAGAAAACACAAACAGAGCAGCCGGACGTAATAATTATTCATACAAAATACTCAAATGCAATTTCTACACAAAGTAAAAGGTGTGGTACATTGGGTAAAAGCCCATTGACACATTCTATGATTTTGGTGGTTCTAGAGTCGATAACAGTGGAGTTATTGAATGTTATTTGCCATAAATATTGAAAGATATTTATAAAAAATAGTCAAAAGACATTTTAAAACAAAGTAAAAGGTGTAGTACAACAAGAACACGCGCATGGACATATGACATGATTTTGGGAATGCTACTATTCACAACAGTGGAGGTACTGAATATTATTTGCCATAAATATTGAACTAGTGTTGCACGGCGTACCGGTACAAGAAAAGTATCGCGTTACCCTCACGTTTAAAACGATACGATTTTGCATATTTTTGGTACTAGTACTTCAATAAAAAAGCAGCGCACTCCCTGTTCCGCTCCCTGTCATGCTGCATGCATGCATTGACTGCCAGGGCGGGGCAACCCAGCTCTCACACATGCAACAGGCAGCCGTCATTCACAGCGAGCGATCACACGAGAGACATGGCCTCATATTTAGGAGCTGTTGCCGACCGTCCTCGGCTTGTAGATAGAAAAGATGCAAGAAGTGTTATTGGGAGGTACTTCGGGTACAAAGCTGACATCGAAGGAAAACCAATGGACACAAACAGACCCGTCTGTAGAACTTGCTACAAATTGACTCAGGCAAAGGGAGGGAACACGTCGAACATGGCCAGCATCTATCAGACCGACACCCCGAAATTTTCAAAGAGTTCAAAGAATGACAGGTTAGCAAATGTGATTATAAACATGAACAACCCCAAGCTCACCCATATACAGCCTAACACGAGTAGCCTTAGCCTAGTTTAGCTAGGTTGACCAGAAGTCCTCTTTTACCAGGAAGCATTTAGTCTTCGAAAAGAGGAAATGTCCCGGTAAAAGAGGACGTCTGCCTTGTCTTGTGTTGCAGTTGCTTGATGTTTGACTGTGTTAGGAAAGTTGTTGACTTGCTAGTTGGTCATAAACAGCCCCTAGCAAGACATCTGGTTAGCAAGACATCTCGTTAGCGATGTTAGCAAGCTTGTTCTAACACGCTTGGACATTGATGGTAGTATTACGTTTTTTTTCTTTTTCCCCTGATGCTAAGTGCTCTCGCGTCGGCTTCTTTGCAATGTTATTGTCTACCATGTAGTTTTCATTAATATCTTGCTGTAGGCTAATATTAATATGAATGCCATTTGTTAAGTGTTCAAAAAGCTGGGCAGGAACAAGCTGGTAAAAAAGGGAACCTTACAGATGTTTTATTTATTACTACATTACATTACATTACACTATCATAGATAAATATTCCAGTATCGTATCGTAATTGTGGTATTGTATCGTATTTGTGGTATTGTATTGTATTTGAGGTATCGTATCGTAAGTATCGAGTATCGTGATATTTTGGCAGGTATAGTATCAAAGTCATAATTTTGGTATCGTGACAACCATATATTGAACATTATTATTAATAATTACTCAATAGAAACAACAAGTACACACCCATGGATGTACGCTATGACTTTGGCCTTGTTACACTTTTCAAAAGTTATGGTATTGACTTTCCAATCAAAAATATTCTGCAGTACATAAGCAGATCTTTCAATAACTACTGCTTTACTTAAACCCCCTAGAGGCGAAACACTGAATAGGAATTAATTCTTGAATATTACCCCCAATAAAAAATCAAAGCACATTTACTGATAATATTAGCTGCAGTACACCAAGAACAAGCCTATTGTATGGCAGGACTTTGGTCCTGCTAACTTTATAAAAGAGTGAGGCTATTGAATAATGTTTACATTAAGTACTCAAAATAAGGAATCATTACAAATCCAAAGCACATTGCATTAAAATAACTACGGTAGTAGAACAATAATGAGCCCACTTATATATAAAATGATTTGGTCTTGCTACCATTCATAACAGTGAAGTTATTGAATATTTCTGTAATATTCTTTATACGCATTTTAATTGGCAGACGGTCCCTGCGCACTTGACTCGAAAGCAGCTGCACATTGAGACCAAAATGATTCGTCCAGCTCGCTGAGCGGTCTGTTTTGGTGAAATTGATGTTAATACTTGGTTGTACTTGGTTGTCAACATCACTACGGTTACAGAGAGGTGTCGTTTGTGTTTTAACAACGTTTCGCTGACGAGCTATTGAACCGTGAAGTCTGAATCTGTGAATATCTTGCTAACTTTACCGAACTCTTTCTGATAAGGTCTTTGGTTTGACGGGTTATGGAAAGCTTTGAACTAGTGGTTGATCATTTGATCAGGTGTCAGTGGTTTGCAGTCAGAAAGAAACACTTCGGATGGAATATCTTGGGATAATATTTGAGATGATACTAACATTAGCTTGTGTCACAACCTGCTAGCTGAGAGGATACAAAGTGAAATGCTATCATAACCATGCCCCCCAGCCCCCCTTTTCCCACTTTAGGTGCTACTGAAAGGCACCTACCCGACAACGCCTGCATCCAACCGCAGATCTTGTACACGGTGGAGGTGCTGAGGAGGAAGAAGAGGCTGAAGCAGCCGATGCAGGCCCACACCAGCATCATGGACATTCCGACGAAGAAGGAGGCGGCCTTGAACGCAGTGGAGGGGATAGCGGCGAACTCGGTGAAGGTACCCTGGCAGGCCAGTTCCCTGGCGATGCCGTCCCCGACGCAGTAGTGGAAGAGGCCGAAGTAGCCGGCCTGCGGCGTGTCCATGCCATCCCCGATCCAGTAGGGCTGAGAGAAGATGGTGACGTTTACGATGCCAAACAGGATAGTGAAAATGGCCCATAGAAGTCCGATGACCCGCGAGTTGCGGACGTAATTGGTTTGGTACAGTTTCGCGGCTTCTGCAGACGGTAGCATTGATGCGGCGGATCCAGGGATCATTTTACGGGGAAACCCGAGGGCTTAAACGAGTGTCGCGACCCGTCCGAGCGCAGAGCGACGACTTTGCATGTATCGCACGGACCGTTTTCACAGAATCGTCCCTCCGAAAATAATAAATAAATCGAGAGCGCGGAGAGAGACTGTGCCCGTGCGGCTACAACACGGCGACGTCCGTCAGGCTGAGACCGACTCAGTGACGTTGCATCCCCCCAAAAAAACAGGCGGTGGAAAAGGGGAAGCAGGGAGCCCAAAGCGGAGCACTCGCAACACCCCTGAATGTGACCGACAACTCTGTGAAAACTCGACGAACACACCGGAAGAGAACAAGCCCGCTCCACAGTCTGGCATCTACACAATCTTTAGCTCACTCGTGCTAACCTAGCAAAAAAAGCTCGTCACTGAAATTCCAGTTGATTGTCGATGCGTCTAGGTTTAAGGCAGAACTAGTTTCTTCAGAGCGTAATAGGATTTTGGTCGCGTGGTGTGTCACGGTTCAACACGTGATCGTTCTACACCAATGAAGGAAGCTGATTTTTGTCAACAGGGTGGCATTATGGCGTGGTTCGATTCAACATTACCGATAAAGAGGAAAACACCCGAACTTCCTCTAAAGTGGGCCAAATGGATTCTAAACAGTGATGTAAAGAAAGCCGCGTCCAAGACGAACAAGTAGGCAAATATACGATAATGTTATGTTTATGTTAAGTCGCTTAGATCAAGTTTGAAATACCTGGGAATACACCTTACTGACGATCTAACATGGAACTGTTTGGAATGTTTTAGAACTTATGTATGAAATCATGAACATGAAACATGTTCACAAATGACCGCGAAATAGCAAAACTATTACAAACAAAGACAACAATTCCAATTTAACTGCATTTTTAAGACTTTTGTAGTCCATTTGGAGGCATTGGCTGTGGAACCAGCGCAAACAGCTGTCACACTGGATCTTAAAAAAGAGACAAAATGAAGCACCTTTATTTAATGATGGTTGAGTAATCAACACATGATATTATGAACATGATATCAAACACTGATATACAAACACACATTTTAGATCTTGAATATTACAAAATCAAAATATCACAAAAATAGGGCTTTTACTTTGAAGAAATCTCCAAATCTGTAAAACAGTAAAAATACTTGATATTCAGCATGGTACTAGTCAGAGAGGTCCTTAACACAGGTACATTGGTCTTTGCCTGGAACTATTGGGAAATCTGTTTTTGTTGCAGCTCAAATATTGAGAAATGGTGTTTTTGAAATTGCAATTATAGGGGTTTTACTTTGGAGAAATCTCCAAATTTGTACTGTACAAATATTTATTTTATTGTACACGGGTAGTCCTGTACACATATAGTTCTATCATTGTCCGGAATTTGCTATTTAAATAGCCTTTTTTCCGGTTACGTGTTTAATGCCGTAAATGTCAGCATATATGTGCAATAGAATTCAAGTGTCGGCTGAGTTGACCACGGAAATCCGGGTGTCGGCTGAGTTGGACTGTGAACGCCCAGCACACACTGACGAAATCAAGGCAAAGACTGTACTTCCGAGGTCAGCTGAGGAAGTTCAAAGTATCAGCACCCATCAGCTGTGTGTCCTGACAGCATCATCACTTGGTATGGGAACTGAACAGCTCGTGACTGCAGTGCCACACCATCAGAGCACCTCTCCCTTTTCTGCAGAAGACCTACAAGAGAAGACTACGTACCAGCGCCCAAAGTATTGTAAAGGACTCCTAACATCCTGACCATGGACATTTCAAAACACTGAGGTTATGCAAACACCTCTCCTGCTACAAGACCAGAACAGAAGAGACTGGGAATGAGCTTCTTCCAGGATCAGGAATCAGGAAACATTTATTGCCATAATATGTGAGACATACAAGGAATTTGACTTGGCGGTTGGTGCATAACAGCAGACAGTATGACAATGGACAACAAAACAACAGTGCAAGAGGAATAAAATAAAATATACTGCTATGGGTTAGTAATATAAGGCTATGGGTTAGTTTAAAAATAAATGAATACAGGTTCAAAATCCTCAAGCATTCGTATCCGGAACACACAGAATGACTATATAAAATGTTTTACAACTTTTTTTCACACTTGCACATGGACTACACACACTGAACTTTATACTGCCTCTTGCTATTTCTGAAAAATATTTCTTGATCTTTCTTCTTTTGCACTCACACAGAAAAAGCCTAACACCAAACAAGATTCCACTACGTACTTTACGTTAGTATTTCTATGTATGTGACGAATAAACATCCTTCCTTGTATCAATAAAAGGCAGTAATTGTTAATTTATTCTTCCACAAATGAAAACAACACTGATCAACCATAAGGATAATCTTCATGAAAAATATGAAATATGATATATAAACTGGAGAAAACAGAATAAAGAATAACAGATTAGGACACTCAGTCCTCACTGTCAGTGTCAGGACATTTATCTTCCAGTTCCTCAGGTCTTTTTGTGTTAGCACAATTACAACAATGACATAATTCTATTCAACACAGTCCTGTAGAACAGTGTTAATTTTGGCAGCTATTTTTGATTTAGTCTTAGTCTTTAGACGAAAATGCATTTTAGTTTTAGTCACATTTAGTCAATTTAATCCTTCTTAGTTTTAGTCTAGTTTTCATCGAGTTGGTTGCAACTTAGATGTCCCTCTTAGGACAGGTCTATAACAGGGGTCGGCAAACTTTTTGACTCGCGGGCCACAATGGGTTGTAAAATGTGACGGAGGAGCCGGGCCAAGAACAAATGGTTTAAGTGTTTGTGTGAACTAATATAAATGACATCAAAAATCATTACATGAAAGGATTTGGATTTTAACAAATAGCAAAGCATTTATTTGCAAGGCAATTAAACAAATTGTCAACGGTGTAACAACTTCATGAGGACCAGGGATCTAAACGCAACACTTTGTTGTCTTTGTCTGTTTACTTGCAATGCTTTTGACGTGGCCACCGGAAACTTCATGGTCCTTTATTGTTTCCACTGTCCCAACAAAAGAGACCATAACGTCTTACAATCGGTGCAATACATTATTTTCTTGGCTTCAGAACCTGCAATGACTTTATTATGTTGGACGTGTTTTTAACGAAGCGTCTCATCCACCGAGGAAACGCTGCCTGCCGTCACCAGAGAACAGAGCAGAAAGGTCCGACAGTCTGTTAAACGGGTCCTCATGTTTCTGTGAATCAGCGCGGCTTCAGCCTACCCAGTGAGCATTTTTTGGTTGAAAAGACGTTTAAAAGACGTCTATGCCCGACGTTGAAAAGACGTTGCAAAATGGTTTAAAAGTGAAAGTTGTTTCAACGTCTATTCGTAGACGTTGAAAAGACGTCTATGTTTAGACCACATTTCAACGTGATTTTTTAATACGGTAATATTTCGTCCTCTCTTGTGTGCTATATCATTATTTTAGAGATTTAAAAAGAAACTACGTCCACATTTGTAAGTTTACCACCGATATTATAAATCACGTTGAAAACGGGTCTACACGCGAACGTCTTTTCAACGTCTATGAAAAGACGTTGAAACAACTTTCACTTTTAAACCAATTTGCAACGTCTTTTCAACGTCGGGCCATAGACGTCTTTTAAACGTTGTTTCAACGGATAAATTGCTCGCTGGAAACTTACAAGTTACATACTTAGTCACAGTTGTCATGTTAACAGCCCTTAACAAGGACAAACACATTATTTTGTTCATTTGCATTTATTATAAATATAACACTATACATATAACACTTTTCCTAATTAAAAATACAAAAATAAAATATATATTTCAGGGAAATTAACTATGGATTTAAAAGTGCAGAAACAACATTTCTGTGTTCAACAACAACAATTCTGTGTTTGTAGACCATTTTTCTGAATCATTTGAACTTCATTTTTAGATTCTGTAACAAGATGTGGGTCTGGGTCACTTGAGTTGGGATAGTATACCTGAAATCAGCTGCATCTCCCTCATCCTCACTTGAGGATTCTTTGTGTAAAGGGAGTCAGAGTGCAGAGAACAGCCCTCAATTGCAGATTTCTCTGGTCAACGTGTTTATTCAATTCAAATCATTTTATTTTGTTCATCTTTGCAATCTGTAAACATGCAACATCCTGTCCCAAAACCCCCAAAATGTAAAAAACCTTCATCCGGGAGAAACCTGAGGAGAAAACAGCAAGGCCGAAGGTGTGTAGAGTATGAACAATTTAAAGATGTACAGTACATCCAATTCCTACGACAGAAATGATTCTAATATTGTGGATTACTAAGCCAGGGGTAAGGCAGGACCAGTGCAGGGACAACCATCATCAGACGTAACCTCCATCAGATGCAACCACCACCCGCAGAAACCTGTGAGGAGGGAAGCACAACGGCAAAGTTGGTAATTTGGGTTTATGATGACAGTAATAAACTAATAATAATAATAACAGCAGCAGCAGGTGTGTTAGAACACTCATTTATAGATGGTTTACTTATTACATTATCAACAAGATAACAATTAATCTGCAACTTATGGTATTTCTGGAGTAACATGTCCAGGTATATTACACAGTATCATGCTTTAAGCAGCAGTAACTTATAATGTGTTGGCCCTCTTGTTTACAGAGCACAACTTGTTGAATTCACCCCTTGCAATCTGTATTTAGCCCCCATTGCTTTAAAAACGTATCTTCAGTGTGAAATGCAATAACATGTATGGGTACAGCAACAACCTAACGCATTAGTAACACCAAACACACGAAAAATATTCTGGGATGTTTACTTTTGGTCCAGGTCATCATGCTGCACGCTAGCATGCTCCAAGCTAGCATGCTAACTAGCAAACTACCTGCGCTAACGCTAACTAGCTTAACAAAAAGGACCGTCTTTCCTGTATCGGGTGGGCAGCACAAGTAAAACACCCGGTTATAGTTCCATGTGTGCTTCATCCAAACACTCCCGTACTTACAGAGTAGTGGAGCCGGTAGTCGTGGTTCTATCAGCCCGTTCATGTCGCTCCGCTGCCGTAACTTCGCCTCGTCCGCTCGGAGCTCTGCAGGCGTCTAAGAACTCGCGCATGCGCGTTACAGATGTGAGCGGAGTCACGTGTTTACAAGTAATGTTTGAACCTGCCCGCATTATTATGCCTTAAACGCATCTTATTAACAGCACGCAGTCCGTAGTTTCATAATTATGACGTTTTAAGTGAAATATTAAATACGTTGAAATTACGTCTTCGCGTAGACGAAATTTCGCCGACCAGTTCATTAATTATTATGAAAATCTTAACGTTAATATCGTCTATCTTTCAACCTTACGTTACATCATGACACATTTGTCAACAAATTGACGTTTTCTGGCACGTTGATGTTTCATCCCATTTTTAGCCGGTTGAAAAGACGTTGAAATGAGGTCTTCACGTTCAGACCTCATTTCAACCCGATTTCAACCA